GCTCTCCATATTTCATTAGCAATGTGTAATTTATCAGCGATGTCAAAAGTTAATATGGGCTGATAAGATCGAGCTGGTAACTGACAAGCTCCCAATTCCACTTGACTCGAAGTGATACTGCCAAGGGGAGATCACTCTATTTGACAAGGAGGCAGTCAGGAAATCCCCTAACATGACAGCGGGTGTCAAAGTTCCCATGGTATCTGATGGTATGTTTATGTGACGTCACATATATCTCTAAACAGCTGAGGTTGTCATTTCACAAAGACATTTTCGCTATTGTGATTTGGTGATAGTATCCTGAAAACGCCACAATGGCAGAATTATTTGTTTTTCGGTTAAAATTCTAAAACAAAATCCACGATAAGGAGCGTTTTGATAAGGATTTTCTTTTTCTATTATTTTCAGAATGCAAGTTTTTTCGTTCCCAACTCGAAGACATACAAAAGATATGCTAATATCTGCCTATTGTTTACTGGTGCATGTATCTTATTCATTGAACCCTGTTACTACGGACAGTACAGTTTGCAGTACAATCCGGTTTAACATAAGGTATATGGTGTAGTATTTAAGTTATGGGGCGACTTGGACCTTTGAAAATCTGTTTGCGCCCTACACATCAAATGTAGACTTGCACAAGTCTCTTAGGTAATAATCATTAGTTTAAATAATTTCTAGATAAGATAAATAATAACTACAAGATGTAAATGACTATCGAACGTTCATCTTTAAGGATAGAATTACTATATATAAATCCATGGACTTATTCATTATATACTTGGAGCAATGCTACATCAAATGCAACAAAAGAGAATAATGAAAATGTGACGATTAACCAGTCTGCTTTATTGTTTTGTGTATTATTTAAAACCGTTAGTAAACACTATTTTTTCTGAAAAATAAGTACTCATTCCATAAAAAACAGATCAGGTAAAAAAGGAAAACTGTCAAAATACACCATTCAAAAAAACTCAATGCACAATGTATGTATATATAACGTATCACATTTTCCCGATGCAGACACGAAGTCTTATAGTCTGGGGTCATTAGAGAATGTGTGCTGCTTTTCTCAAGTACTTGATTTCTTAAATTTAGTCTGATACGATTGTGGCCTGGGCATTCAATTAAATAATGTTTTACTATCTCAGACCCTGAAACAAATATATCCAAAACACCCCATGCAATTCTATAATGTTTGGGAAGTCTAGATTACTGCAGTATCTGAAGAAAGTCTCTGGGCTCCTTTTTATTATATTTTATAACTATAATTTAGCAACTGTTTCTTCTGTAAAATATGTTCCTTTTCAGAGACTAGATGTTAGTTAGTCTATATCTCGGGAGTATTTATTGAATTGTACATCAGACGTAAACCTTTTCCCAGTTCATCATAATGGCATGCCCAAAGACATGCACAAAAATATAAATGTCACTTCATTGGGGGTTAGAGGGAAATGTTTCAAGATTCGTGTAATGGCCGCTTCACACTGTTGGCAGCGATGACACCCTGTGGGTAACGACGGTGGCACGTGCTGGGATGGAGCTTGGTTGCATACATACAAAGGGACATTACTCCTTACACATGTTTCAATGGATCAGTGCGCCCTCGATTTTCATTCTCAGCTCCATGAGGCGTATAGGACCCAAACTTCCATTGAGGCGATAGACGGTGACAGTCACATCACCATCTCATCCTACCGTGGACCTTTTCCATTGGGTGAACAGAGACCTATTTTGAACAAAAAGGTATTTTGTTCAAGAAGACATCATATGATACTTCAACACTCCAACAGAAGAAAGATTATGTACCTTCTGTGATTTTGATGAAACAGAAGTTGAGAAACACTTCCTGTTGCGATGCCCTCTCTACAAAGATCTGAGAGGGTAACTCAAATCATCACCCGGCTTTGCAATGCACCCACTATCGCTAAAATTAAATCCACCAGAGCACTTTGCAAAAATTATCTCTAATTTCATTCACAAAATGTTCAGGGCAAAGAAAATCTGCATCTCGTCCCTAACAATATAATCATAGCAATATTTGTATTCTGTTTTGTATGTCAATGTTTTAATAGGTCATGTTCATGTTTTGTACCCTGTGTCCAGTGGGTGTTTATGTACAATAAATATTCTTCTTCTTCTTCTTCTTCTTCTTCTATGTGCTGCAGAGCCCTAGAAACCCTCAAAGGCCAAGCTACCGAACACGGTCTCCCATCCATCGCGACCAACGATGCTTAACTTCGCCTGATATGTGACATATGTGCTGTACACAAGACCACGTGCCACCCCAAATATGCCACCCATCGCATGATGACAACATGTACATTTTTACCCCGGTCATTGGATGAGTGTACATTTGTGTCACTGGTACATGTCTGTCAGCAGCCCGCTGTTGTCATCAGGTACTACTGATGCTCTGGCAATGATTGACGGCAATTGTTCTGCTGATGGACCGTCAGTGAGTCACATTTTCAAAGTCCATCAAACTACACGTTGTTGTCATCTGCACACGGACCTGGGTCTAAATTTATGGGATACTTCTTAATTAAGAATTGACATAATTTTCATATACATTTCATCACTGCTTTGCCCCTTAAGCTCGATGGAAACTGTTTCAGCAGGCAATGGAGATGTCTGGCGATGACGTTTTGAATTTCATTTTGAAAGATTTCCTTGACGTATGAACCTTTATAACATGATGAGTGAGTGTTGTTTTACGTCGCTTTTAGCCCCCGACTGCCCCAATTATTTGTTTTTCGGTTAAAATTCTAAAAACAAAATCCACGATAAGGAGCGTTTTGATAAGGATATTCTTATTCTATTATTTTCAGAATGCAAGTTTTTTCGTTCCCAACTCGAAGACATACAAAAGATATGCTAATATCTGCCTATTGTTTACTGGTGCATGCATCTTATTCATTGAACCTTCATTGTTACTACGGACAGTACAGTTTGCAGTACAATCCGGTTTAACATAAGGTATATGATGTAGTATTTAAGTTATGGGGCGACTTGGACCTTTGAAAATCTGTTTGCGCCCTACACATCAAATGTAGACTTGCACAAGTCTCTTAGGTAATAATCATTAGTTTAAATAATTTCTAGATAAGATAAATAATAACTGCAAGATGTAAATGACTATCGAACGTTCATCTTTAAGGATAGAATTACTATATATAAATCCATGGACTTATTCATTATATACTTGGAGCAATGCTACATCAAATGCAACAAAAGAGAATAATGAAAATGTGACGATTAACCAGTCTGCTTTATTGTTTTGTGTATTATTTAAAACCGTTAGTAAACACTATTTTTTCTGAAAAATAAGTACTCATTCCATAAAAAACAGATCAGGTAAAAAAGGAAAACTGTCAAAATACACCATTCAAAAAAACTCAATGCACAATGTAAGTATATATAACGTATCACATTTTCCCGATGCAGACACGAAGTCTTATAGTCTGGGGTCATTAGAGAATGTGTGCTGCTTTTCTCAAGTACTTGATTTCTTAAATTTAGTCTGATACGATTGTGGCCTGGGCATTCAATTAAATAATGTTTTACTATCTCAGACCCTGAAACAAATATATCCAAAACACCCCATGCAATTCTATAATGTTTGGGAAGTCTAGATTACTGCAGTATCTGAAGAAAGTCTCTGGGCTCCTTTTTATTATATTTTATAACTATAATTTAGCAACTGTTTCTTCTGTAAAATATGTTCCTTTTCAGAGACTAGATGTTAGTTAGTCTATATCTCGGGAGTATTTATTGAATTGTACATCAGACGTAAACCTTTTCCCAGTTCATCATAATGGCATGCCCAAAGACATGCACAAAAATATAAATGTCACTTCATTGGGGGTTAGAGGGAAATGTTTCAAGATTCGTGTAATGGCCGCTTCACACTGTTGGCAGCGATGACACCCTGTGGGTAACGACGGTGGCACGTGCTGGGATGGAGCTTGGTTGCATACATACAAAGGGACATTACTCCTTACACATGTTTCAATGGATCAGTGCGCCCTCGATTTTCATTCTCAGCTCCATGAGGCGTATAGGACCCAAACTTCCATTGAGGCGATAGACGGTGACAGTCACATCACCATCTCATCCTACCGTGGACCTTTTCCATTGGGTGAACAGAGACCTATTTTGAACAAAAAGGTATTTTGTTCAAGAAGACATCATATGATACTTCAACACTCCAACAGAAGAAAGATTATGTACCTTCTGTGATTTTGATGAAACAGAAGTTGAGAAACACTTCCTGTTGCGATGCCCTCTCTACAAAGATCTGAGAGGGTAACTCAAATCATCACCCGGCTTTGCAATGCACCCACTATCGCTAAAATTAAATCCACCAGAGCACTTTGCAAAAATTATCTCTAATTTCATTCACAAAATGTTCAGGGCAAAGAAAATCTGCATCTCGTCCCTAACAATATAATCATAGCAATATTTGTATTCTGTTTTGTATGTCAATGTTTTAATAGGTCATGTTCATGTTTTGTACCCTGTGTCCAGTGGGTGTTTATGTACAATAAATATTCTTCTTCTTCTTCTTCTTCTTCTTCTATGTGCTGCAGAGCCCTAGAAACCCTCAAAGGCCAAGCTACCGAACACGGTCTCCCATCCATCGCGACCAACGATGCTTAACTTCGCCTGATATGTGACATATGTGCTGTACACAAGACCACGTGCCACCCCAAATATGCCACCCATCGCATGATGACAACATGTACATTTTTACCCCGGTCATTGGATGAGTGTACATTTGTGTCACTGGTACATGTCTGTCAGCAGCCCGCTGTTGTCATCAGGTACTACTGATGCTCTGGCAATGATTGACGGCAATTGTTCTGCTGATGGACCGTCAGTGAGTCACATTTTCAAAGTCCATCAAACTACACGTTGTTGTCATCTGCACACGGACCTGGGTCTAAATTTATGGGATACTTCTTAATTAAGAATTGACATAATTTTCATATACATTTCATCACTGCTTTGCCCCTTAAGCTCGATGGAAACTGTTTCAGCAGGCAATGGAGATGTCTGGCGATGACGTTTTGAATTTCATTTTGAAAGATTTCCTTGACGTATGAACCTTTATAACATGATGAGTGAGTGTTGTTTTACGTCGCTTTTAGCCCCCGACTGCCCCAATTATTTGTTTTTCGGTTAAAATTCTAAAAACAAAATCCACGATAAGGAGCGTTTTGATAAGGATATTCTTATTCTATTATTTTCAGAATGCAAGTTTTTTCGTTCCCAACTCGAAGACATACAAAAGATATGCTAATATCTGCCTATTGTTTACTGGTGCATGCATCTTATTCATTGAACCTTCATTGTTACTACGGACAGTACAGTTTGCAGTACAATCCGGTTTAACATAAGGTATATGATGTAGTATTTAAGTTATGGGGCGACTTGGACCTTTGAAAATCTGTTTGCGCCCTACACATCAAATGTAGACTTGCACAAGTCCCTTAGGTAATAATCATTAGTTTAAATAATTTCTAGATAAGATAAATAATAACTGCAAGATGTAAATGACTATCGAACGTTCATCTTTAAGGATAGAATTACTATATATAAATCCATGGACTTATTCATTATATACTTGGAGCAATGCTACATCAAATGCAACAAAAGAGAATAATGAAAATGTGACGATTAACCAGTCTGCTTTATTGTTTTGTGTATTATTTAAAACCGTTAGTAAACACTATTTTTTCTGAAAAATAAGTACTCATTCCATAAAAAACAGATCAGGTAAAAAAGGAAAACTGTCAAAATACACCATTCAAAAAAACTCAATGCACAATGTATGTATATATAACGTATCACATTTTCCCGATGCAGACACGAAGTCTTATAGTCTGGGGTCATTAGAGAATGTGTGCTGCTTTTCTCAAGTACTTGATTTCTTAAATTTAGTCTGATACGATTGTGGCCTGGGCATTCAATTAAATAATGTTTTACTATCTCAGACCCTGAAACAAATATATCCAAAACACCCCATGCAATTCTATAATGTTTGGGAAGTCTAGATTACTGCAGTATCTGAAGAAAGTCTCTGGGCTCCTTTTTATTATATTTTATAACTATAATTTAGCAACTGTTTCTTCTGTAAAATATGTTCCTTTTCAGAGACTAGATGTTAGTTAGTCTATATCTCGGGAGTATTTATTGAATTGTACATCAGACGTAAACCTTTTCCCAGTTCATCATAATGGCATGCCCAAAGACATGCACAAAAATATAAATGTCACTTCATTGGGGGTTAGAGGGAAATGTTTCAAGATTCGTGTAATGGCCGCTTCACACTGTTGGCAGCGATGACACCCTGTGGGTAACGACGGTGGCACGTGCTGGGATGGAGCTTGGTTGCATACATACAAAGGGACATTACTCCTTACACATGTTTCAATGGATCAGTGCGCCCTCGATTTTCATTCTCAGCTCCATGAGGCGTATAGGACCCAAACTTCCATTGAGGCGATAGACGGTGACAGTCACATCACCATCTCATCCTACCGTGGACCTTTTCCATTGGGTGAACAGAGACCTATTTTGAACAAAAAGGTATTTTGTTCAAGAAGACATCATATGATACTTCAACACTCCAACAGAAGAAAGATTATGTACCTTCTGTGATTTTGATGAAACAGAAGTTGAGAAACACTTCCTGTTGCGATGCCCTCTCTACAAAGATCTGAGAGGGTAACTCAAATCATCACCCGGCTTTGCAATGCACCCACTATCGCTAAAATTAAATCCACCAGAGCACTTTGCAAAAATTATCTCTAATTTCATTCACAAAATGTTCAGGGCAAAGAAAATCTGCATCTCGTCCCTAACAATATAATCATAGCAATATTTGTATTCTGTTTTGTATGTCAATGTTTTAATAGGTCATGTTCATGTTTTGTACCCTGTGTCCAGTGGGTGTTTATGTACAATAAATATTCTTCTTCTTCTTCTTCTTCTTCTTCTATGTGCTGCAGAGCCCTAGAAACCCTCAAAGGCCAAGCTACCGAACACGGTCTCCCATCCATCGCGACCAACGATGCTTAACTTCGCCTGATATGTGACATATGTGCTGTACACAAGACCACGTGCCACCCCAAATATGCCACCCATCGCATGATGACAACATGTACATTTTTACCCCGGTCATTGGATGAGTGTACATTTGTGTCACTGGTACATGTCTGTCAGCAGCCCGCTACATCAAATGCAACAAAAGAGAATAATGAAAATGTGACCATTAACCAGTCTGCTTTACTGTTTAGTGTATTATTTAAAACTGTTAGTAAACACTATTTTTTCTGAAAAGTAAGTACTCATTCCATAAAAAACAGATCAGATAGAAAAGGAAAACCGTCAAAATACACCATTCACATCGACTGCCCCCATAACGGATGGGAACTATGAAGATCCGGGGTAGAATAGATCTTCAGCAACCCATGCTTGTCGCAAAAGGCGACTACGCTTGTCGTAAGATGCGACTAAGGGATCGGGTGGTGAGGCTCGCTGCCTTGGTTGATGCATTGCATCGATCCCAATTGCGTGGATTGATGCTCATGATATCAATCACTGGATTGTCTGGTTCAGACTCGATTACTTACAGACCGCCGTCATATAGCTGGAATATTGCTGAGTGCGTCTTTAAACAACAAACCAACCAACCATAACGTATTGAACAGAGCTGGCACCATGAAGCTGGTACATTTCACGTCGTACGATTGTGTTGATGCCTCTGTTGATGGGAATGGCGAAAACACTGTCGATGATGAAGCTGAATTACATTTATATTTTCTCCTATATTGTAAATGATCGTAACATAAATGAGGAAAAGAAACAGCAAAAAAGCGAAAATTTGTAAATATTGATTTTCAAAAGTAACTTTGAACTTCACTCAATAATAAATGAAGAGCTTAGAGCTAAAAGGGGCCAAAATGGACTTTGGCCCTTTTTGCATATTATTGCATAAATAACATCTATGAGTTCTTGTCTACCTGTAGAAAAAATATTGTATGTTTTCATTGATGCGTTTTTGGAATATAGCTACTTAGAATTCTATAAAAGGGGCCAAAGTCAAGTTTCAAAAGGGCCAAAGTCACTTTGCTAGATTTTGGCCCTTTTAGCTCTCATTTCAGTGTGTGGTTGAATGAGAGAGATTTTGAAAGTTTGTCACCTTATTATCATATTTCAACTATTTCAACAAAGTTGGCATGAGTTTAAATCATTTAAAAGTACTTCAATAGTATATGTTTGTACTTCCAGTAGAAGTTTATCAATCTCACTTGTTAAATCCCATGCAAATGCCTGAGGGTAATTAAAGGGCCAAAATACAGACAATTGGCCCTTTCCACCCTTACACAAATTAAAAACATAAGTTTGTTTCCTTTTTTGAATGTTTTTTTTATAATAATATTTATATCTCTGCTGTCAGAATGCGTTAATGTCTAGGAATTTATCGGTAAAAAAAAAGTTCATTAACATGCATATGTGTTTTCATCACTTTTCTCAAAACAGACTCCACATGACATTGGCCCTTATGGCTCTAAGCTCTTCAAATAATATTCCATGTGCATGTGTTATTCCGGACATTTATGCCTGTTACATATTGTTTCCAATAACACGAGGAGTGAATGGGTGAGATGGCTTTACGCCTCTTTCAGCAATATTCAAGCAATATCACGGCGGGGACACCAGAAACGGGCTTCAAACATTGTACCAGTGTAGGGAATCGACCCCGGGCATGATGAGCGAAGGCTTTAACCAGAAGGCTACCCCCTCGACAGAAAACAACACGAGGAAGACAGAAGGGTGAGCATGAGAGTGAAACATATTCACATCAGTATAATTTGTGTTTACGGATAGGCATGTTATGCATACTTTCTAATGGAGCACACTTAGAAAATGTGTCAAATTATAATATATACACCAGAAGACACGTGCCAAAATAAAACATTGAAACAGTGATACTATCAATTAATACAGACTTAACAGGTCATCGTTGTGTCATTTGGCGGCTAACCAGGTTCTAAAGATTATGTAATCTGAAAATCTTAATTGGTTAAAAGAAGGAAATCTGTTTCCCAAACAAATTAATAAATTGTTTTTAAGATAATTTAGATAAGTTGTTTTACGGGATGCAGATAGTGTTCCCATGCACTGAGTGCCTCTTATAAATAAAACTGCATTCCTTTATATTGAAATACTGTGACAGTAATTTTCGGCGTTAATGCAAATAGTACGTAAGTCTTTGAGGGCCATTTGTTTTTTTCTTGAAATTTCAAAATTCTAAGTTGAAATTTCAAGATGTTATGTTAATTCCAACTTATTATCTTGAAATTTCAAGATACTTAGTTGAAATTTCAAGATGTAATGTTCATTTCAACTTATTATCTTGAAATTTCAAGATACTAAGTTGAAATTCCAAGATGCTATGTTAAAATTGCAAGATACATAAGTTGGAATTTTAAGGTTTTAACTTGAAATTTCAACTTAATATCAAGAAATTTCAGAACATTATCTTGAAGTTTCAATTTGGTATGTATCTTGAAATTTCAACTTAATATCTTGAAATATCAACTTAGTATCTTGAAATTTCAAGAAAAAGACAAATGTGCCTAAAAGGCTTCCGTAAAAATAGTACTGTATTAGTGTATTCACGTTTATGATAGGTTAGCCTGCATAATCTAAACTTATGAGTGAGCACGGGTAGTCCAGTGGTGTGGGCACCCCAATTCATAGTGGGGAGTTGCGTCTCGTATCAGTGACAGGTGCGCTGCTGACGGGTGTGGAGTCTAGGTTCGCCTCGTTTATGAACTTGGTATGTCAGCATAGAACAAATGCTTTTGAATATTGCCAAAATGCATTGCATTCCCCTCGCAATATTTGTATCATTTCTCATAAATGAAGCGCTGCCTAGTCGAAAACACAAAGGTTGACAACTCTCCAACACTGAAGCCTTCTGCATTACTCACATTGTCAGAAGGGGTGTATTGAATATAGAACACCAAACCCGGACTTTCCCAATATCAGCAGCACCAGATCATGAGGTACCAAGTCTGAGGCACTGAGGACAATGGGGAATCGAACAACATCCTAATTGGGATTCAGGCTTGACATTACATGCGCGAAGTTCGCACATATTTGCCTTTGGAATAGATCCATATTACAGCCTCAGACGTATCCAGGCCAACATACCTGATCCTGTTCTTTTTTGATAATTCAAATGAAATCATTTATATCATTGTCTTTTTGTCACTGATGCGATAGACAAGGTTCAGGACAAACATGGTAAATATGCGGACCTTGCTTTCAAATGTCACGCTTGCATCCCAAATACCAAGTTGTCCGACAATCCATTGTTGCCTCGGGTTTGGTACCTCCCAATCTGTTGACTGACATTGGGAGAGTACCCGGGTTTGCTACCAGGAATACAGCCCTTCTGACAATATGGGTTATGCAGAAGGCTGCAGTGTTTGGGAGTCTTCACATTCTCCGAAAGGATCTGGGTGGGTTTGGTTTGACTAGGCATCGCTTCCTGGGAGAAGTCCCATTCGCTGTCTGGGCTGCTTGTGGAGGGGACAATGTCCCTGAGCTGATGATGAATCTAACCAGCCTGTGCATTAGACTGTGTCATGCCCACTCAAACCCTCTTTGCTGCTTTTATTTTAATCAGTAAATAATAAGAAGAAGAACTGTGCAGTCAAATTATTTCAATCTTCTTGGGTAAAACTACAAAACATAAATTTCAGAAAAGACGGTATTGTCTGACGGTATTCAAACATTTCAAATGAGAGTGTCACACACAGCTTACTTTCTCCAAATAATCAGCTTTAATAATTAGCTTTGACACTGAAAATATCAAGATGAACTCTAGATCTTCTTCTGTGAACTATGAGAACTAAGGACAACAAACAACACACACTCACACACGCACACAGACACATACACACACGCACACACAGACACACATATACACACAGGCACACACGCACACACAGACACACATATACACATACACACACAGGCACACACACACGCACATACACATACACACACAGGCAGACACACACACACACACGCAAGCACGCACGCTCTCACACACACACACCGGGTCAGATTGCGATACTATGCTTTATATTTATTCACATGGACATAACTATCGCAGTTTGTTATAGTGACAAATGTATGTGTGTGTAAATAAGTTCACGCAATTATGTTTTGACTCATGCTTGTGGGTCAGTATTTAGTCACCACTTTAAACGTTTTTCTTATTTCAAAATGTGAGTGTTGATGTACCATGGCCCAGTGTTCATATATAATTATTTTATGAATTTAATAAATTTTGTTTTGGTGGGCTTTTTTAGTTTTTCGAAATCGGATGGCTGAGATTCCAATACACACTCTATCATATATTTTTAGCATTATTGTATCAACTGTCTGTAGTCAACATTCTGGGTAGGCCGGCGTAATGAAGATATTTCTGCAAGTTTAGTGAGATCACAAATCACCAAGAATTCATACGTGGCCTTTCAAAGACATTTTTCCTGTCGATATCGCCCCTGTTATTCTTTCTGAAATGCTCACATAGTCCAATATTTTGATAGATTAAAGGTGTATTTGATTGTGGTACATTCACAGATAAATGAACGAAGTCTATTTCCGTATCGACACATCTCAATAGAAATACATCTAATTGAATTCGGATAACCAGCGTGTACGTTCGTGTACTGAATTCTAAAGGTTGGCCGTTGTATGGTATTATATTATTAGGTATCAACTTTTGACATGTTATAAGTATTATTCTTTTAAAATCCAAATGGGATAAGCTGAGGATCGCGCAGCTATCGACCTATTCACACACGAGTGAGAAACAGAAAAATATAAACGGCAAGAAATAAATAAAATACTAAATGACTCAATTTAACACCAATTTTATTAAACTTGTGAATAGTTCTGGTGTCTGACGAGGGAAAGCTTTAATATTCTATATTTATCCTGATGTTGAAAGATATTGTTTTATTTAGATAAGAGAGACATGTCGTTAAAACAAGAATATTTCTATAATTGTTTGATTTATAATTTAAACCTGTATCATTCCCGTAAAAAAACATTGGAAAATATGGAAGTGACTATTTTAAAATAAATGTTTATTAATGCTATATAATTTGTTGATAATTTGAGAGTATTTTTTATCATACGTTACGTTTTGTTTAATAAATACCTAGATTTCCAGGTTACTTTTAACATTAACTAATCTATAAAGAAATTAAATGTAAAACAATCATTTCCTGCCTTTAATCCACGTTGATATCTAATATAGCCACGGCGTTGCTCCCGTGCGTTCCAGAGCTGGAGTGGTTGTAGATACTTATACATACATACAGGTGGTATTTGTACACAACATCAAGACGTGTCAACAATTCATTTTAGTTCCTGTTAATAAGCATTGAAACAATCTATCTCTGATGTTTTGACAAGAGATATGTAATTTACTTTATTTCTAGACCAGTGTCATCCAACAAGACATCACGCTGCTTCCCGTATCTGGGAGACTTCAAGATGTTGCACCTAACCGTCTCCAGTCGACTTTATCTCGCCAAGACTTCGGCTACCATCGATTAGGGAATACCGTTCTTTCAAAATGAGCAAATCTGAAGCAAAAATCTTTGTTGGAAGGTGCTCGCGAAAGCTAACCTCGGCCTTTGTAGGTCAGGGGTTACGTGAGACGTGACTGACGGCAGGATTTACGAAGAGTCGGCACCACTTTAGGGCAGAATGCCATTTTTACCGCTGATAAGGAAATGCCAAGAATATAAGTTTTTTGTATAAGATTACCTTTTATATTAAATTTGAATTTTCATTTTTCAGAACATTTCTTTGTTAAAACGAAGTTTGTAGCGTAATTCTACAGCACTTCGTCTCATTCACTCATTTATTCTTGCTTCTGGTGACCCTTGCCCCCCCCCCCCCCCCCCCCCCCCCCCCCCCCCCCCAACGCACACGTGCAAACACCCGTTCCTGACTATAAAGACTAAATACCTGATCTGCAATATGGTTTTCCGGTCAACGGCCTTACATCACGTGTTTCCCCTCCTTGGCATATAAATATATATATATATATATTTATATATCAATATACTTCACATTCGTAGCTCTTCATGCAACTGTAAAAGAGATGCTTCTTTATTTTCTATCTATCCGTACATATCTGATATCTAAACCAGGTTAGTTAGTTATTTTATTTTTTATATATTGATATATCAAATAAATAACTGCCGGATGAACCAAACAAGACATGGCTATTCGCTAGTGATGTATTTGACATAGGTTTCAAGGCGATATTGCATGTATTATACCAACGAGTTTCTCACTTCAGGCCAAAGTTTTTGTAATTTTGTAATTTTGTGGTCAAATCCAATTTGTAGGATTATCCTTTCTTTTTCCCGGCATTTTAGTTCGTTTGTGTTATACAAGACTAACATAAAGTCTCTGAAATGGACTAATTTACAGAAAATACAGTTGTTAACTTACAGTTATGAAATATATGGAGCGCAGAGACCTTCTTCATTTTCAGATGATCTAGATCTAGATTTTCAGTACCCTAGAATATATATCAGACTTTCATGGGCTGTGTTGGATATATTTGTTTCATTGTCTGTGGACTAGACTAGTATATATTACCATAATATATCGGGATTCGAACCTGGATTCACGATGAGCCAACGATTTAACCACTGGGCTTCCACCCCAGCCTACCGCAGAAGATTGATTGATTGTTTGTTGTTTAACGCCTTACTCAGCAATATTCCAGCTATATGACGGCGGTCTGTAAAGAATCGAGTCTGGACCAGAAAATCCAGTGATTGACATCATGAGCAATAGGGATGCGATGTTTGTATCAACCAAGTCAGCGAGCCTGACCACCCGATCCCGTTAGTTGCTTCTTACGACAAGCATTGTCGCCTTTTACGGCAAGCATGGGTTGCTGAAGACCTATTCTACCCCGGATCTTCACAGTCAACCGCAGAAGAAACACTTCAGGTCTTCGGTTTATCTTTAATAACGACCGTTGCATTTGTTTCTGTGTGAAAACTGGGCCCTCGTTATAAATATTAATTTATTCTTATTCTTGTGAATCAACTTGCGAAAATCAAAATAAGAAATTCAATTCAAATATATGCAATATATAAGTGAAAGATCAGTGTTTTGAGATAATGAATACAAATTTAAAAAAAGTTTTTTACCATACAAAGATATCTAGCGTTAACTTTAAGATGCATTCCCAATACGTGTATTGGCTAAAATTACATTTATCTGACTACCACCCCGCTACACTACCCCCACCACCCCGCAACACGACCTCCACCACCCCTCTAGACTACCTCCATTATCCCACTACACTACCTACACTATCCTACTAGACTACCCCCACCACCCCTCTAGACTACCCCCACCATCCCACTAGACTACCCCCACCACCCCTCTAGACTACCCCCACCATCCCACTAGACTACCCCCACCACCCCTCTAGACTACCCCCACCATCCCACTAGACTACCCCCACCACCTCTCTAGATTACCCCCACCACCCCTCTAGACTACCCCCACCATCCCACTAGACTAACTCCACTTGACTACCTCCATCATCTCAATACACTACCTACACTATCCCACTAGACTACCCCCACCACCCCTCTAGACTACCTCCACTATCCCTCTAGACTACCCCCATCATCCCTCCAGGCTACCTCCACTATCCCTCTAGACTACCCCCATCATCCCTCCAGACTACCTCCACTATCCCTCTAGACTACCCCAATCATCCCTCCAGACTACCTCCACTATCCCTCCAGACTACCCCCATCATCCCTCCAGACTACCTCCACTATCCCACTAGACTACCCCATCATCCCTCCAGACTACCTCCACTATCCCTCTAGACTACCCCCAACATCCCTCTAGACTACCTCCACTATCCCTATAGACTACCCCATCATCCCTCCAGACTACCTCCACTATCCCTCTAGACTACCCCCATCATCCCTCCAGACTACCTCCACTATCCCACAAGACTACCCCCATCATCCCTCCAGACTACCTCCACTATGCCACTAGACAACCCCCACCACCCCTCTAGACTACCTCCACTTCCCTCTAGACTACCCCCATCATCCCTCCAGACTACCTCTACTATCCCACTAGACTACCTCCATCGTCCCACTAGACTACTTCCATCGTCCAACTAGACTACCTCCGTTATCCCACCACCCCACTACACTAACTTCACCCTCCGCGATTGGTAATATTTTAGAGTATGTGTACTCACATAGCCAGATTTGTGTGAGGTAGGAGGCATTGAGCCAAAATGTTGTGGAGAGAACACTTGGTGATTGTATTCATCTCAGTTATCGGTACATAGGAAAAGTCCAAGGTGAAGGTAAGCTACCATAAATAAAGCGCATGTTCCCCGTTGGAATCGATAGCGGCTGCCCATGGAAGAGACGAGTATGCGAATCACATCCTAGGGAATGGTTGCCCACTCGCCCTTCAACGCAAAGGCCAACTGCTGCAACGTCTGGGGTTATGGTTGACGTCGGCGTAGCCGTCTATCCAATTCACCCCACAGGTGCTCTATCGGGTTTAAACCCGGGGATCTGGAGGGTCAGGGGAGAACATCAACGTTGTTGTTGTGTGGACAGGCTCTTGTGATCCGTGCTGTATGCGGTCGAGCGTTGTCCTGCTGGAATACACCGTTGCCGTTGGCTGCAATTGGGAGGATGTGTGGTAGGAGAATTTATCGATGTATCGTTGAGCAGTAAGATCGCCCTGGATATGGACCAAACCTGTCCTGCCATGATGAGACATAGCCGCCCACATAATAACGTTACCCCACCAAACATGTCCACTTCCTGTACGCAGTTGTTGACGATGTTGTCGACTCAATATGACGCGTTGAACAGGACGTCTTGCTCGTAGAGCTGCTGCTCTTAAACGATTTCGTACGATCTGGTCGGAGATTCTGCGCAGTCCGGTAGTTGGGATGCGGTTGAAGTGGCTGTGGTCGTCCTTTCACGTAGGTTGCGCAGTCGGATGTAGCGATCTTGGGCGGGGTGGTTACTCTTGGTCGTCCCGACCTTGGCCGATCACGTATTGACCCATGCTGTTGAAACCGATCCCATTGCCTTGTGATGGTGCTGGGCGCTACATTGAAAACCCTGGCTACAGCTGATCGGGATTCCCCTGCCTGCAAGCGGACTATGACGTTGTTTCTTTGCACTTCTGTTAATCTTGGCATGTTGTTGAACTGTCACTGTTCGATTGACGCAGATGCGAGGCAATCAAGAACCCTGCACTTTTAATACCTTTCTTAGTGCTGCTGCACGTGCAGTGCGTGCAGCACCATGGCCCTTTTGTCAATGCACTGGGTGTGTTTTTTCCGAATCGTACCTGTTTCCCGACTAATGGTTTGCATGTCCTTGTTGTGATCATTTTGATCCGGGAAATTTGTCACTGACACTATAACACATTAAACCTCATCATTTTGCACCTCTTGCTCCGCTAATTTTGCTTTTATGGACAAAAATATCCGTATTGCGTTTCTTTTCCTTTTTGAAGAGTACACATTGACACTACCACATTCGTTTTAACGGCAAACTCACCGGAATCACTGGAGCTGCACTTATTTAGCTTCAACTAAACTGCCGCGCAGTATAAAGTGTACGCATAAAAATTGAAACAGACTTAAGTAACAACGCACAACCCGTGGATGTAGAAGATACACCTGCAGCAGTGAAAGCACGCATAGAAATGGTATAAAATGCAATGGATCGATGCCAAACGGACTGGCAACCGATTTTCAAAGACGTCATCAAGCGCTTGACGTCATCGATGAGAAGGCGAGTCTTGGCGTGCATTGGTGCTCGTGGTTGTCATACTCACTATTGAGAATGTCTGGTATCTGGGAACCAACTCAAGCTGATCAGGACAATACCGGCTTCTCTCTGCTCAGTACTGTGTGCTGTGACCTCCGTGTTCCTTGAGACGTCATGTGCACGGCACCTGTTGTGAGATACTCATATGATGCATGTACTATCGCCTGTGAGACCGTATGAAATATATCACTTGCGAATAGCCTTTTCTTGCTTAGTCCATATAAGCCACTTTCAAACATTGGGTGTATACTTTCTTTTGCAGTTTCTTCAAATATAGGTTTAAGGAAGTTGGTTTATTTGTTTGCTTGTTTGTTGTTTAACGCCGCACTCAGCAACATTCCAGCTATATGGCGGCGGTCTGGAAATAATCGAGTATGAACCAGACATTCCAGTGATTAATATCATGAGCATTGATCCACGCAATAGGGATCGATGACATGCATCAACCAAGTCAGCGAGCCTGACCACCTGATCCCGTTAGTCGCCTCTTACGACAAGCATAGTCGCCTTTTAGGGCAAGCATGGGTTGCTGAAGACCTATTCTACCCCGGATCTTCACGGTTCTTTTAGGAAGTGGCGAGCTTAGACCGACATATACAATAAGCGGTTCTTAGCATTTTTCCCAGGTATTTTGCTAGTTTTACCTTATTGTAAATGTATCTTTGAACAGATATATTCTAAGTTGGAAAATATAACTGGAAACACATCTCCTAGACACAGTAAGTGTTAATGACTCATTAACTGTATGCATGTTAATACGATAGAGTTTTCTTACAGTGTTGAATACACAAACATCAGTGAAAACCTATCTCATTCACACATTATGTAATTATAAATATATTTTATTTGAATTTTTTTTTATAATAAAGCTTTGACAAATATAAACATGATTGCGAGCACACATAAAAATATCTTACATGTTATGAATGTGTTAA